AATTTTCGAGAGGTTTACGCAAAAATTGTTTTATTTTGTTCACTCCCAAAATTACCTTCGGTTGGAATTTGTTCTGCTTAAGAGTGAATTGAACAGAAATATTTAGATATAACTTTGAAGAGATGTTATGCCCAAAACGGTGGATGATGAAAGTCATTTAATTCACTTTTTGATGAATTTATTGAAGATTATTTCTATCACACCCTAAAATTTTATCCTTTTAGTTATTTTCGGATGTTTAGATTCAATTAAGATGCCTATTATTCGTCAACCTAAAGATCTTCTTTTCCAGTTTTTCTTTCATTTCATCAATTTGGTTAATTTTTATATGTAATTACATGTCCATTTTGGTATGGCGTTTATTCCAGATTTGCTGGTGGCCGTTAATCCCAACGTGAATAAAATGCCTAAGGATGTTCAGGAAGAATATAGAAAAGACACGAAGGAACGACTCAAAAACCATTGTCAATACTCCAAAGTGGGTTCCTCTGTTGATTTCAGTTTTTCAGTACTCACAGCTGTAATCCAGAAACCCTAGACATCAGATGAAATTGATTCTAACAGGCTTGTTTAGTTGTTGGCAAGAAAAAAGGCAACCACAATAGACTCATGGTACTTCGAAATCACTTACAACTTCATGGTTCATGGAGCGAATATGGTTGACTAATAAATTCACAGATGACTACACTATTAAAAATGGTATTCTAACATTTTGTAATTGATCAAACGAATTCCTTCCTGGCCTTACTGGTTTTAAACTAGTAAATTAATCACATGGGAATGTTAATAATGATTAATCACCTTAAGGTCCTTAAGGTCCTTAAGAATATTTTCAGATGAAACAAAAGCTATTCCTTTTTATTGGACAAATTGAACTCTTGACTCCATTAAACTTGCGCTAATTTGACATTTCAAAGTTTTATTTAATAAATAAATTACTTGGAACTGTTGCATTTTATTTTGCCTTTGTCTTACACCTTCAACACATAAAATTTATTTTTAGACCAAAACGAAATCGGCTTTCGCCTTTAGACACTGTTCAAAAAATTTATTGGCAAAATTCCATTTCTACTGATTGATTTTCTTACGTCGAAGATCATTTAAGATCTCTTAAATTGGTTTAGGTCTACCGGAATCTCGATTAGAATTTTTTTCTTCGACAAGCAATTTGATTAAAAATAGTTACACTCTTGTCAACAGGTTTAATTATTAATTAGAACATTGAAGTATTTTTGAGGAGTTAATCAAAGATTATTCTATTGACAGTAAAGAAACTCTTAAAAAAAACGGTTAGGTTTAATAATCGTAGGGCGTCGATTCGATCCCCAGCCCCATCAGAAATAAAAGGGTTGTTTTAAAATAATAATCATAATCGGCATCCATTACGGATATTATGGCGGGATTAGCATGTAGGAGGTGACACGTAGGGGAATCTATTGTTCACCTGCAAGGAATCAATCCCTCGAAAAGAAAATCTCACTTGTCAATCAAAAAATTCTCCCCCACTTGCTAATTTGTTGCTACGTTGCGGTCATTTTTTTCACCATTTTTTCGACAATTATTAATAAACGGTACTCGAAATGATCATAAAATTTTTCTCACAAAATTCATATAAATACATTCTTTCCGCGTTAAGTTTTGCATGAGTGGTTATGGTTGCTTTTTGTCTACTTCTTTTTTTGGCATTGTTACGATTGCATTATTCCGATTTTTCTAAACTATGTGCGCTTCAAATCTGAGATATTTTCGACATTTCCTGGGTATTATAGGGAATATTTATTAAAAAATCCAGATTTTTCTTTAGTATTCTGGGACCGCCCCCGAATCACGCCATAACATACTTAAGAGCGGCCATACGTAGTAAAAAAAATTATTTATCTTTTCTTTTGAGTGAGTTATCTTTAATATGTTTAATATCGATCGCATTTTTCTGAAAGAGCTAAGAATTATCATTATCTTTATTGTCTCAGACTTAACTAAAACTCTTGCAGCATCGAAGAAGATCTGTTGAATCTTATCATCTCCATTTGACTTTAAAAAAAGGGCTCATTTGTTTATATTTTTGTTTTTAAAATATTCAACTTCAAACCTCCAGGAGTTTCTTCACCTCCACCATCTCTTCGGCATGTAGTTTCTAATCCGGATTCGGTTCAGGATCAATTTAAGTTGCAATGAATGTGCAGCATTCTGCACATACGGGCACTGCTCCTGCATCTTCACTTTCATCTTTTTGCGTCAAATAACGGGACTTGGTATGGTACGCTAATATAGAGAATGTTT